CCATATCTCCACCTCCATCCAGGAACATCAACTTCTTCTCAGTATTACCCTTCCATATCTTCTCCTCCATCCAGGAACATCAACACGTTCTGCTCAGTATGACCCTTCCATATCTTCTCCTCCATCCAGGAACATCAACACGTCCTGCTCAGTATGACCCTTCCATATCTTCAGTGGTGGCCTCTCTAGAGAGCTGAATGGCTGACGTCTGATATAGAGGGACGAGGCCCATAGAAAAGATGGGGGGAGTTCCTCTATGATAGAGGTCATCTGATGGTCTTGTGGTTGGAGATTGTGATGGAGGAATGATATACGGCTCTATCATTGGAGTATACTACAGACCACCCCCTCCTAACGTTATGAGAAGGGGGAGGGGTAAGCTCCTCCAATAAGGACAATACAGAAAAATGAAACCATTGAGATAGAAGTATAAATGAAGAACATTCTGGATGCGGCTTCACTCAACCACCTGACAATATCCGAATGTTATGTATTTATAGATTTTAATATTAATTTTGTGACAAAAAAATAAACTTTAATATTCTTCCATTGTTATCAGATAATCTGAAATGTTCCGTCTCAAAATGTTTTCCACCTTCATCCACAAGGGGGCTCTCCAAGCAATCAGACACAACTTTGAAGACTTTAGTCAAGATTTCCCTTTAAAGTTTAAAGGAGAGCTCAGCCATGACCTTTCCCACACTCTGGACACTAATACACCTCCAATGTATTTGTCGGGCCTCTGATATTTGGTAAGGCAAGACTTCTGTGAAAATTAATTCCCATACTCAGGGCAGGGATACGGCTTCTTCCCCCATATGGAACCTTCGATGTACAGAAAGGTGGGACTTCCCTGAAAAACATTTTCCGCATTCAGGACAGGAATACGTCTTCTCCCGTGTGAGATCTTTGGTGTCTGGCAAGTTCTGATTTCAGTGGATAGCCTTTCCCGCACTCAGGACAGGGATACGGATTCTCTCCTGTGTGACATCTTTGGTGTCTGACGAGTGCTAATTTCAGTGGGAAACATTTCCCACACTCTGTACAGGAATATGGTTTCTCCCCCGTGTGAGATCTTAAATGTCTGACAAGTGCCAATTTCAATGGGAAACATTTCCCACACTCTGTACAGGAATATGGCTTTTCTCCCGTGTGAGACCTTTGATGTGCATTAAGATGTTGTCGACGTACAAAACATTTCCCACACTCAGGGCACGAATATGGTTTCTCCCCGGTGTGATACAGCTGATGTGCAGTAAGATATTGTCGACGTATAAAGCTTTTTCCACACTCATGGCAGGAATATGGCTTCTCCCCTGTGTGACACCTCTGATGTACAGTAAGATGTTGCCGACAAGCAAAACTTTTCCCACACTCAGTGCAGGAATATGGTTTTTCTCCTGTGTGAGCTCTCAGATGTATGGAAAGATAGGACTTCTGTGTAAAACTTTTCCCACACTCCGAGCAGGAATACGGCTTCTCGCCCCTGTGAGATTTTTGGTGTCTATGTAAATCTGATTTTGCAGCAAAACATTTCTCACACTCGGGACAGGAAAATGGCTTCTCACCCGTGTGAGATCTCTGATGTATGGAAAGATAGGACTTCTGTGAAAAACATTTCCCGCATTCAGAACAAGAATACGGCTTTTCACCTCTGTGAGATTTTTGGTGTCTCTCTAAATCTGATTTTGTGACAAAGCTTTTCCCGCACTCAGGGCAGGAATATGACTTCTGACCCCTGTAAGATCGTTTATGGACACAAATCGTTGGAAGGAGGGCCCCGCCCCTCCCAGTCTGAGGTTCCTCAGGATAGGAGGAATGTGATGGTCCATCCACACTGTGGGGCACCTGATGGACATTATGGTCTTCTCCTGGACTATACTGTGTGATGTCCTCATCTTCTGGAGACAACGTGAGACGTTCCTCTGAGATCTTCACGACGTCCCGTCCATGGACTACAAATACAAAAAAAGAGATTATTGGTTGGTTCACCTCACCCAGGACTCCGCCCACATCAGTCAGCTTTGTGGATGAGGATCATATTTGGTAGATGGTTCCTCCTGACCTCAGACCAGATGACTTCTAGAATCACCCACCTTAGTCTGCCATCTCCCCCACATGGGAAGTCCTACACTTCCTTATTTCCCCCATCAGTCATTTAGTAATAAGAGTGGAGCTGAGCCGCACCAGAGGTCAGAGAGTGAGAATGGGGGAACCCAACCAAGATGAAGACTGGACTGATCCTGAAGACCATCGTTGGCTCTTTGATTCCTCATTCCCCGTCACTTCCTGTTATTGGTTACAAAGCACTTCCAAATCCTTACCCCTCCCCCTCCAAACTTTGCAGGCTTGTTCCAGGTGTTGGGACTCAAAGTCCTCCAGCCAGGGACTCGGCCTGACAACTACTATTACCAGCAGGAGGTCCAGCCATGGTGGCCCCCCGTATCTCTCTCAGTACCGGGGACATTTATCAATGAAGATCTAATGTGCAGGACGGGAAACGCAGTTCAAGGAAGTTACCGTCACCAGGCCGGAGCTCCTCAGTCCCGTGTCACATGTTTCCCTGATCGCTGACTCTACTTCCCGGGTGGCTCCTTGGCTTTCATGGCTCTATGGGGCCCCACCATGGCCACCCCTTCACACGCACTCTCAGGAGGGGACTACAACCCGACGTGATGACGCCCCCGGCACCAACATGCACAGGCAGCCCAAGAACACTCGATACAGAAGACACTTCTCTGCCCCTCCTCCATGGGGAGTGACTGGTAGGGGCTCACATGGGCGATGGCTCTATGAATGATGGGTCATGTAGTCCCGAGGATCACATGACTTTCTATGACACTATGGGTGAGCGTCACCTGACCAGACGGGTGAGCGTCACCTGACCAGACGTTCGGGGGAAGCGGCTCAGAGGAGTGTTTGTGGACTCTTCTGGAAGAGGTCATTTATTGTCCTCGGCTCAGTTGGTCTCAGAACTGGACTGAGGAGGAGAGTCCATGTCTGGAGGACCAACGTCATGTAGGAGTCATCTGGTTGGAGGTCAGGAGGAACCATCTACCGGATATTTCTCTGTTGCCGGGTCTCTATAGGGATGGGACATGGGAATGTCTTCCAGAGATGTCCTACATATGACCCACCTGTGCCGATCTCTGTAGGAGTGTCCTCCTCTATGGATGTCCTCATCATCCCGGCCTCCTCCGTATATCGCCGATCATCCCTCACATACGTCTCCTCCTCTACTTCTTCTTTCACCTCAACTTTGATATCCGTCAGATCTTCCCCCTAAACCCAGAAAATACAAAACTGTAATAAATAAGCGCCAATGATGTGAGGTCACATAGAAGACATCATCTTACAGAGTCACTTCCATGTTCTAGATGTTCCGTCCCACCAACCTGATCATGTTGTGTGTAGTTGTGTCCTTCCTGGGTGGGATCCCGGGAATACAGAGGGCGGGGACATCTCTCTGGTGGCTTCCTGTAGCTGCATGACGCCATCATAAGGTTCTTGGAGAGATCATTGTGTCCTTCTACAGAGTCCTCCATCACCCCGTACTCCTCATCTTCCTCCTTACACTCTTCTTTAACAACAACGTTATAATCTCCGAGGATTCCGCTCTGAATAAAATAAAACATTCATTGTAAGAAACACGCTGGCGTATAAATTATAACTATCAGCGATGGTCCATCATCTAACCTGATCATGGTGGGGGACGGTGAGATCTTCCTGGGTGGGGTCCCGGGAATACAGAGGGCGGGGACATCTCTCATGGTGGGGGACGGTGAGATCTTCCTGGGTGGAGTCCCGGGAATACAGGGGGCGGGGACATCTCTCATGGTGGGGGACGGTGAGATCTTCCTGGGTGGAGTCCCGGGAATACAGGGGGCGGGGACATCTCTCTGGTGGGTTCCTGGAGCTGGATGACTCCACCAGGTTCTCCTGGTACAGATCTTTATGTCCTTTTGGAAACTCTGACTCCTCCATTACTCCGTCCTCCTCTTTTATCTCCACTTTAACATCAACTTTAGAGGCCCTCAGGACTCCGCTCTGAATATAAAAATGACATCAATGGTAACAATGTAGATAATGATCTGATCCCAGAGATACCCCCAGTGATGGTCCATCATCTAACCTGATCATGGTGGGGGACGGTGAGATCTTCCTGGGTGGGGTCCCGGGAATACAGAGGGCGGGGACATCTCTCATGGTGGGGGATGGTGAGATCTTCCATTGTTACCACCCAGACACGCCCCTTGTCTGTTCCTGGATCATGTCCCAGAATCCCCGGCACCGCTCACCTCTCCCGTCATTAGAAATTGTATTTTGATGAATTCAAATCTACACCTAAATGAACCCCCATCCCCCGCACCCAATGAAACTCATATAATATCTTATTACCTGCTCTGCTGCCAGTTCCAGCAATGTCTCCTCCCTACTTCCTCCCAACTCACCGGGAACTTCCTATTTATAAGTGACATCACTTCCTGTCATAGAGACATCCTGTCTGGGTATAGGTCAGATCACCACCTTGTGGAGCTCAGAGGAACTACAGCCCCCAAGAAACCTCTCGTAGTGTGGCTTTCAAGAATGCTCAGTAGATGCTGGTTGTCCACATTGGTCTTCATATTCGTGTTAACCGGCTCGAGCCTCTAGTAGAACTTGACATGTTTGAATTCTTCAGATAATAGTGATATAATTTCAGTTGTAGAGCACTTCAGTATTCTCAAATCTTCTTCTTGTGGTGGCACCTCAACACACATTGATATAATTGATTAATGTCCACCTATAACTCACCGTACAGAAGAAGAACCTCTTCAGCTTGATAAAAGGTCCATCACCATAGCCCTGGGAGTCTCACGTGGAGAAGGAGTCCATATTCTAGTCATCATGACCTCCCCAGTGCGTAGAAATGGGAGCCAAGGAGGGAGGAGTAGGCTCTGGGCACCGGGAACCCGAGGCCAGTCAACAGGAAGCCGAGAGTCTTGGACACAGCCATGGACAATAGGAACCCGAGGCCAGTCAACAGGAAGCCGAGAGTCTTGGACACAGCCATGGGCAACAGGACCCTGAGGCCAGTCAACAGGACGCCGAGAGTCTTGGACACACTCATGGACAATAGGAACCCGAGGCCAGTCAACAGGAAGCCGAGAGTCTTGGACACAGCCATGGAAAATAGGAACCCGAGGCCAGTCAACAGGAAGCCAAGAGTCTTGGACACAGCCATGGACAATAGGAACCCGAGGCCAGTCAACAGGAAGCCGAGAGTCTTGGACACAGCCATGGGCAACAGGCCCCCGAGGCCAGTCAACAGGACGCCGAGAGTCTTGGACACAGCCATGGACACAGCCATGGACAACAGGACCCTGAAGCCAGTCAACAGGATGCCTAGAGTCTTGGACACCGTAATGGACAACAGGACCCTGAAGCCAGTCAACAGGATGCCTAGAGTCTTGGACACCGTAATGGACAACAGGACCCTGAAGCCAGTCAACAGGATGCCTAGAGTCTTGGACACCGTAATGGACAACAGGACCCCAAGGCCAGTCAGCAGGACGCCGAGAATCTTGGACACAGCCATGGACAACAGGAACCCGAGGTGAGTCAACAGGAAGCCTAGAGTCTTGGACACAGCCATGGACAACAGTACCCCGAGGCCAATGGGAGCCAAGCAAGGTCCCAAGGTGTGGTTGCATTGTCCACACAACAGGACGCTGCCTGGCAGGGCCACACAAGGCAGCACCTTGGACTAACTAACCCCGGCCCCGACGCACATGCCTCGGTTTTGGTGAAGAATTGGATGGACGGGAGATTAAAAAAAGATTGTCCAGTGATCCCAAAGCTCCCAAGGACAGAGCTTGGTGCTCCAAAATGACAATTGAAGTCCTTGTAACATACTCTATGCTTGAGAGTAACACCAACGATGAGGAATCACCAGATGATGAACGAGGCGGGAAGGTTGTCTCGGAGAATCCCACCATTCTTGTGTCATAACTCATGAACATGGTCACACAGAAGAGGATCCCATCTTCCAGGACTTTATACTGAAGGATATAGTGAACAACCGGCACCTAAACCGTATCCAATAAATAAAGGCCACATGTGGGACTATGGTAATCGTGTTCAGAGATATGGCGATGGTCAGTGTTCAGAGATCGGGACCCTCAGGTTGGAGAGAACGCGGTGCCAGGCACAGTACAAGGACTGGTGGACCTGGAAGGTAATGTTTCCATGGTGCTGGAAAATGAGGTCATGACCACAGACACATGGTCCAGCAAGCATGGACAGAGACTTTTCATCTTCTTCCCGGCACACTGGGTAAAGTTGGTGGCGGCCAAGAAGGCACAAGGAACAACGCTGAGCTGGTTGCGCAGCGTCATGCAACTGTATGACTGTAGCGGATAAGTCACCTCTACCACCTTCTGCACATTGGCCTCCTCAGTCCATCAAAAGCCTGTATTCCCGGGGGACAGGAGCCACACTGGGGGCAGATATTCTGTTGCCTCTTCAGGGGGCAGGAAGAGAGGTTGCTGACCCCATGAAAAGTCATGTGTGACAATGAATGGAACCAACATGATGTCCACTACCCTTCAGCAGGGAGAATTTTACACATGTGCCTTGCCTGGACCTCTTGGTGTCTCAGGGTGCATTGTGAGGCAGAACCAGTCATAGGAGGAGCATGAGGAGGAGGATAGTTGGGGTGCCAATTGTAAGGAGGAGGACACATGCCAGGCTTCCAGGGGTACGTTACACCCCTCCAAAACACCACCAGGAATTGTACATGGGTAGGGTGATACGGTTAAGGACACCCGTCACGTACCTGGTTGGAGAGTGTCTGTGAGAGGAGGCCTCCCTAGCACCTCGTTTTTTTAATTTCACATTAAAACCTTTTTCGTTCCCTCTTCAAATGCAGTAAAGAAAAAAAAAAAGGCTCACATGATGTTCAGCACACGCCTCTGCTTTTTTCTGGCTCTCGTCTCTTTAGTCATTTTAGTTATTTTTAAAACCCTTGTCTCTCCCTTTTACATTGCCGAGGCCTGATGAAGGGGAACCTGCGTGGCCCCCGAAAACGCAAGTTATTGTGACATGAATGATAGAAATCACCAGCAAATGAAATTCAAAAAAAAAAAACCCAACGTTACACATATCGCATAATCCAACGTTTCGGGACCACGTGGGGTCCCTTCATCAGGGCTGAGATGTGACTGGTGTGGGATTGGAGTTATTGTGACATGATGTTCCATTAAACGTACTCTTTGGACTGCAATTTGGTTGGTGTGCTGGTGACATCTATTTACTGTGTGGTCGGCGCCATCCGCGGTCACTGCAAGCACACACCCCCCCATATCTAATTTTGGGTTTTTCCGGTAACGAGTGCAACAAGGTATCTTTTTGTTTGTTCCTGTGCTATATTTCTGGCTCTTGTCTCTCACATATTCCACTGTGACATTTTTATTTCCTCTCCAAATGCAGTATTTAAAAAAGGCTTTCATGACGTGCAGCGTGTCTGTGCTCTATTTCTGGCTCTCGTCTCTCACATATTCCACTGCGATTTCTTTTTAATTTCAGATTAAAACCTACTTTTTCGTTGCCTCTTCAAATGCAGTAAAAAAAAAAAAGGCTTATGTGATGTTCAGCACATCTCTGTTTTTTCTGGCTCTTGTCTCTTTAGTCATTTTTTAAAACCCACCTTGTCTCTCCCTCTTACATTGCTGCCCAATCAAGTTACTTACATACCCGCCAGCCAATGTGCTATATGTCTGCTTATCGTCTTTGAAATGAGGCTCCTCTGGAGTGTGTGCGGTTGTGGTTTTAAATCGTTCTTGTACACTCAGGCGTCTCTGCTTTTTCTGGCTCTTGTCTCCCACATATTCCACTGCGATTTCTTTTTAATTTCACATTAAAACCTACTTTTTCATTGCCTCTTCAAATGCAGTAAAAAAAAAAAAGGATCACATGATGTTCAGCACACGTCTCTGCTTTTTCTGGCTCTTGTCTCTTTAGTCATTTTATTTAAACGCACCTTCTCTCTCTCTTACATTGCTGTCCAATCAACTTCCTTACATACTCGCCAGCCAACATGCTATATGTCTGCTTATCGTCTTTGAAATGAGGCTCCTCTGGAGTGTGTGCGGTTGTGGTTTTAAATCGTTCTTGTACACTCAGGCGTCTCTGCTTTTTCTGGCTCTTGTCTCTTTAGCCATTTCAGGTCTTTTTTAAACCCACCTTGTCTCTCCCTCTTACATTGCTGCCCAATCAAGTTACTTACATACCCACCAGCCAATGTGCTATATGTCTGGCAATTGTCTTTGAAACGTGGCTTCTCCGGATTGTGCGGTTGTGGTTTTGAATCGTTATTGTGCACTCAGGCGTCTCTGCTTTTTCTGGCTCTTGTCTCTCACATATTCCACTGCGATTTTTTTTACTTTCACATTAAAACCTACTTTTTCATTGCCTCTTCAAATGCAGTAAAAAAAAAAGGATCACATGATGTTCAGCACACGTCTCTGCTTTTTCTGGCTCTTCTCTCTTTAGTAATTTTAGTTTGTTTTTTAAAAACTCACCTTGTCTCTCCCTCTTATATTGCTGCCCAATCAAGTTACTTACATGCCCGCCAGCCAATGTGCTATATGTCTGGCTATCGTCTTTGAAATGAGGCTTCTCTGGAGTGTGCGGTTGTGGTTTTGAACCGTTCTTGTACACTCAGGCGTCTCTGCTTTTTCTGGCTCTTGTCTCTTTAGCCATTTCAGGTCTTTTTTAAACCCACCTTGTCTCTCCCTCTTACATTGTTGCCCAATCAAGTTGCTTACATACTCCCCAGCCAATGTGCTATATGTCTGGCTATTGTCTTTGAAATGAGGCTCCTCTGGAGTGTGTGCGGTTGTGGTTTTGAATCGTTCTTGTACACTCAGGCATCTCTGCTTTTTCTGGCTATTGTCTCTTTAGTTTTTTTGTAAAACCCACCTTGTCTCTCCCTCTTACATTGCTGACCAATCAAGTTGCTTACATACTCCCCAGCCAATGTGCTATATGTCTGGCTCTTGTCTCCTTAGTCATTGTAGTTTTGTAAAACCCACCTTGTCTGTCCCTCTTACATTGCTGCCCAATCAAGTTACTTACATACCTGCCAGCCAATGTGCTATATGTCTGGCTATTGTCTTTGAAATGTGACTTCTCCGGAGTGTGTGCGGTTGTGGTTTTGAATCGTTATTGTACACTCAAGCGTCTCTGCTTTTTCTGGCTCTCGTCTCTCACATATTCCACTGTGATTTTTCTTTTAAATTTCACATTAAAACCTACTTTTTTGTTCCCTCTTTCTGGCTCTTGTCTCTTTAGTCATTTTAGCTTTTTATAAACCCACCTTGTCTTTCCCTCTTACATTGCCGTCCAATCAAATTGCTTACATACTCCCCAGCCAATGTGCTATATGTCTGGCTATCGTCTTGCAGATTCACCCGTCACGACGGTAGATAGAAAAATGCAAACTTTATTGTACAATTTGTCTCACTTCTAAATGACATATCTGGTACAAAAAAAACGGCAAACGCATCTACAAATTAAAGAAAAGGTATTTTTCTACAAAAAAAAAACCCAAACAACAACTTTCTGCATTATTTTTAAATACAATAATAAAAAAAAGGTAAAAAACATGAAAAAGAGGACGGAGGAGTTAGTGTTAGTAAAGGGTTAAGGAGGGGCAATCATTAACAATAAAACCTTCCCCCCCACCCATATGAAATGAAGGGACACAGCAAAGTCCTGAAGTGTAAATACAATGTATCCATCAATGATTCCTGAAAACACGGCTTGCAGGCTTCGTTCATTTCGGGGGAGGGGGGGCTGATTACACAGTATTACAATGTGACAGGCGGGTGTCACCGATCGTAGCGGTCAGGGGGGAAGAAGCACCGGGCGTACGAGGTATGTCCAAGGAACATAGGGCGCACATCCAATGTCCTGGTCACAGTATTTCCTGTACACTCAGCAATCAGGACGAGGGCAGTGAGTGAGGGGAACAGACCCCATATGGGGGTCAGACATTAGTAGGGCCACTAAGTCTATACCGGGTAAAGGCTTGACTCCATCACTGGAAGAGTCGTGTAGTCTGATCTCCCCTTCTCTTCATCCACAAGCTCCTCTCTCACCGTGATGTCTTCCTTTTGAAGGGAGATCAGACTACACTGCTAGAGGGACTCAACCAGCAGTGACACCCCCTCCCCCTAGCAGAGGAAGCCAGGCACAACTTTAAAGTCTTTAGTCAACTGATTTCCTACTAAAGATCAGAGGAGAGCTCAGCCGCGTGTTTCCCGAGGTGTATATCAAGGTGTGCTTCTTCCCAGTGTCAGATCTCTGATGTGCCTCAAAATAGGACTCCTACAGAAGACATTTCCCACACTTGGGACACTAATCTAATACGCCTCCATGGTTGTGTGTGTTCTCTGATGCCTGGTAAGATTGGACTTCTGTGAAAAACATTTTCCGCACGCAGGGCAGCGGTACGGCTTCTCCCCCGTGTGAGATCTCCGATGTGATTCAAGAAGTGGTTTGCATACAAAACGTTTCCCGCATTCGGGGCAGGAATACGGCTTCTCCCCTGTGTGAGATCTTTGATGTATGATAAGATCCGACCGCCGTCGATAACATTTCCCACACTCGGGGCAGGAAAACGGCTTCTCGCCCGTGTGGCATATTTGATGCTCGGTAAGATGGGACTTCCGTGAAAAACTTTTCCCGCAGTCGGGGCAAGTAAATGGCTTCTCCCCCGTGTGAGACCTCCTATGGATATCAAGATCTGGTTTACGTACAAAACATTTCCCACACTCAGGGCAGGAAAATGGCTTCTGCCCTGTGTGACTTCTCCGATGTGCATCAAGAAGTGGTTTGCATACAAAAGATTCCCTGCAGTCAGGACAGGAATACGGCTTCTCCCCCGTGTGATATCTGTGATGTATAACAAGGTCTGACTTCCGTTGGTAACATTTCCCACACTCAGGGCAGGCATACGGCTTCTCACCCGTGTGGCATACTTGATGTTCAGTGAGATGGGACTTCCGTGAAAAACTCTTCCCGCACTCAGGACAGGAATACGGCTTCTCCCCAGTGTGAGACCTCCTATGTATATCGAGATCTGGTTTATGTACATAAGTTTTCTCACACTCGGGGCAGGAATACGGCTTCTCCCCTGAGTGAGATTTTTGATGTCTGACAAGTTCTGATCTCCGTGGATAACATTTCCCGCACTCGAGGCAGACATGCGGCTTCTCTCCCGTGTGGCATATCTGATGTACGGAAAGAATGGACTTCTCTGAAAAACATTTCCCACACACAGAACAGGAAAATGGCTTCTCACCCGTGTGAGATCTTTGATGTCTGACAAGTTTGGGTTTCGATGAGAAGCACTGTCCGCACTCGGGGCAGGAATACGGCCGCTCACCTGTGTGACATCTTATATGTATGCGAAGACTGGATTTGAAACTAAACCGCTTCCCACACTCTGTACAGGAGAACCTCTTATCTGTTGGAAGGACGGCCCCGCCCCTCCCGGTCTGAGGTTCCTCAGGATAGGAGGAATGTGATGGTCCACGTACACTGTGGGGCACCTGATGGACATTATGGTCTTCTTCTGGACTATACGGTGTGATGTCCTCATCTTCTGGAGACCACGTGAGACGTTCCTCTGAGATCTTCCCGACGTCCCGTCCGTGGACTACAAAGAGAAAGAAAGATTATTGGAGGACATGAGCGGGTTGGTTCACCTCAATCAGGACTCCGCCCACAACAGTCAGTTTTGGTGACGAGGATCAGCTCTGTAGATGGTTCCTTCTGACCTCCGACCATTCATTTCTATATTCATAGACTCAGACAGAGAACCAATGAGAAGTCCTACATTATAGAGGTGCTGGTATTGTGGGAGGAGCCTACCCACCCCCTCCATCATTCATTACCATTATGAGAACACAAGAAGTAACTTCATAGTCATAAAGGAAGGGCGCAGCACCACCAGATGTCAGAGTGAAGATGAAGGAGGACCACCTGATTCTGAAGACTACCATCACTGAGCTCCGGACTCGCCCCCCATTATCGTCTTCTGTTGAAGGTTCCAACAGCCGGGCAGCCAGTCAGGACGTCCAGCCGTGGAAGGTCTCGTCTCTCTCTCAGTAGAGGAGTCCTTCTGTCCGCCATTATGTAGAGACTTGGCTGTAGGAGAACCTTGAGGAGCTTGAAGAACCCAATAATGGTGAACCCCGTCTATAAATTGTGTCTACAGGACAGAGAACGAGGAATATCCGAGAGAGAGAAGATCTAATGTGCCGGACGGGGAACACGGGTCAGAGAAGTGACCATTACCAGCTTATTACGGGCCGATATCACTCAGTCCCCGCCCCCATTCTGGACCAATCACTGAGCAGTATGAGCAGAGGAATGTATTTAGTGTGTATGACCCACCTGTGCTGATCTCTGTAGGCGTGTCCTCCTCTATGGACGTCCTCATCATTCCGGCCTCCTCCGTATATCGCTGATCATCCCTCACATACGTCTCTTCTACTTCTGATTTCACCTCAACTTTCATCTTCATCAGATCTTCACCCTAAGAAAATGGTAGAGATCATCATCTTGTAGGATCCACTCATCATTTCCATGAGTCCCTTCATGTTCTAGATTCTCCGTCCCACCCACCCGATACCACCCTAAACCAAGAAAATGATCGACAACATCATCTGTAGACGTTCTGATGAAGTGAGACCACCTAGAAGATGTCTTGTGGAGTCCACACCTCGGACCTCAGTCACTGACACAGATCAGAGGAGGATTGGCCACTGATGCCACGAGAGTAAGAAGTATATATATATAGGAACGGCATATCAGAGTGTTGAGTCACTTTCATGTTCTAGATGTTCCTCCTCACGTACCTGATCATGGTGGAGGATGGTCAGACCTTTCTGGGAGGGGTCCCGGGAATACAGAGGGCGGGGACATCTCTCTGGTGGGTTCCTGGAGCTGGATGACTCCACCCTGTTGCTCTGGTACGGAGCTTTATATCTTTTTGGAAACTTTGACTCCTCCATCACTCCGTACTCCTCATCGTATTCTTTCATCTCTTCTTTAACAATGACTTTAAAATCTCTCAGGACTCCACTCTGAAAATATAAATGGTAACCATGAAGATAAAGTTCAGATTCCGGAGATACCCACAGTGATTGTTCATCATCTACCTGATCATGGTGGGGGACAGTGAGATCTTCCTGGGTGGAGTCCCGGGAATACAGAGGGAGGGGACATCTCTCGTGGTGGGGGAGGGTGAGATCTTCCTGGGTGGGGTCCCGGAAGGAGCCGTGAGGGACGCCATAGGAAGTCCCACCTCTCCTACACCTTTACCGTGACTCTAAAATCCATATCTACGTGATGTCCTTGTACTCGGGAGACCTCAATCATCGCGTTTCCGGATCAACGTCGGCGGTTTCGATAATTTTGTAAAAAAATCTGTTTGAGGAATTGTTACTAGAAATGGCAAAAATTAGA